GGAGCACAGAGGTGGCAGCTTTTTGGTTTGTGTGGCCTCGTGGATGCAGGAGGAGGCAGAAAGCCAAGGAGGTTTGGACAGATGATGTGAACAAGGTAGATGTGAAGAATGACAGAGAGCTAAATTTACAGACTCTGGGAAAAAGAAGACACAGGGGCAACGTGGTCACAGGCTATAAATACCTTCAAGGTAACAATATAAATGAAGAAAGGGAATTGAGTGTCGTCTCAAAGGAGGGTAGGGCAAGAGCCAGAGCTGGAGGCTGATGAAGGAGATGCATAGAGCGGAGGGGAGGGAGACTGGGCTGGGGGGATTTGCCAGGGGAGAGGGCTGGGGGGCAAGTAGGGCCATGAGATGCTGGGGGAAACGAGGTGATCAGATCCCTGTGTGACCAACCTGCTTCCTTTCAGCTTCATGCACGCCCTGAAGGTAACCCCATTTAATTCAATAGAATTCACCCAACTTTGTTTTTCACCGTTGCTTCTCCTTTCACATACCTCATCCGCTTGCTGTTTCTCTGGGATCTGTTTTTCTTTGCAGTCAGCCCTGCACAGCTTAAACTAACACTGAAACTTCACCACTTTTAATCTGTCTTAGAAAGGAGAAACAAAGAAATTCTGTCTGTGCAAAGGATGCACACACTCTTCATTGCGACTCAGAGGCTTCTCTCCATGCGAGCGCTCCTTGCTGCAGCTCAGGCCCATCTCATTCAACACGACTTTCCCTGGGTTCTGCTGTAGGTGCCCTGACGAGGTAGGTGCTGTCTAAGAACAGGACAGAGAGATGGATGATGGCACAGAATTTTTGCATCTGCTAAATATGTAATATAAAACAAGAAGCTCTGTCAGCACCGGATGGAAGGCAGCCTGGCTTTTTATCAATGCACTGCCTACGAATTTGGGCTGGAGCATTTTAGTGGCTGGGGGGTTGGGAGCAATGTCCACATGGGTACCTTCCCTGGTGTCCTGCGGAGATGAGATCACACTCCAGGATCCCCTTTGAATGGGAATGGAGGCAGCATCAGAGATACTTTCTCTCTTTCTAGGCTTCTCGCTTTCATGAAAATTGGCACAAACTTAATTAACCTCCAGGCTGATGACTGTCAAATTTGATTGAAACTGGACAGTCATCTGGTGTCTCTTCATTTTAGGTTGTTAAAGAATATCTGTGGTGATGTTGTGGTTGGATGAAAGCACCCAGAAAGACTTTTGCTCCCTGCCCCATGACCCCATTGAAGCCCCTTTGCTCTCAGGGTGGTCCCTCAGCACTTGGGTTGTCTCCACCACTTGGTGACCCAAAAGCTGATGTCTCCATCCCCTCCCATGGCAGCAGGAGGTTTTGCAGACCCTGTTGGCTCAGGCCAAGCCGTGAATGGGATTTCCAGGTTGGTAACATAAAACCACCCCACCTGCTGCTCACCCTGCGTCTGTAGCAGCCCCACATTTATTAAGTGCATTAATCCCTTCCTCAATCCAATCAACAGGGCATGAATCTTCAACCTAATTTAAGCTTATTCAGCCATTTTGTCCCTCATTAAAGGCCCATATCATTATGGTTCAATTAAGAACAGCAAAAAGCAGACTCCCTCCAATTACCTTGTCTAGTGCTTCCTTCTCCATCATGCATTTGTGCCCAAATCTTCCCATCCCAAATGATGAAACCTGTGCTGAATGTTGGTTTGTATTTGAGCCAGAAGCACACATTCCCCCTTGTCACATTCACATTTTTTTTTCTGCTTTGGAAATCTGTTGAATTTTCCACTTTTGCACAGGAATTTTTCTTGCAGTATCTTCCCCTATGGGCTCAAGCTGTAGTGCCAGGTGCATCTGCATGAACCAACCTTACTCTCAGGTCATGTCTTGTAGTTTAAATCTCAAAAAGGTTTGTCAAAATGGTGTTAGGAAGAGCCCCTGTTGGCCAACCAGAAAGAGATACGTGTAATCAATAAACGTGGACTCTAGGATGCTGGTTGCTGCCTGGAGGAGAGGATGGGGTTGGTAGAGGAAAGGGGTTCAGCAGAAGAGGGAGATGAGTGGCTGCAAAGTGCTGAAAGATCAGTCACCACTCTGCTCTTGGATTAGCTTTGCTTGGATGGTGCAGCATCAGTTAGCCAAGCCCCATACAAGAAGAGATAGAGCCATCTGCTTTGGAATTTGAAAATAGCTCGGGGAGCAAAGTGAGGGTGCCAAAACCCAGGCTATGGGCAGCACAGGGCACACAAACCACCGGTTGTTGGGTGGGTGTGGAGAAAGGGCTCCGGTTCAGTGTTTCAAATGGAAGCATATCCCTGGAGTCATTCCACATATTTCACACCAGCCTTCTTTTTCTCTTATTACTCCAACTGCCAAGGGACAGAACATGAACTTTCTGTATCATCACAGAGCTCAATAGATTTCCTCTTACCTTCAGGGTCTGAGCTCTCTGCCACGGTGTTTGTGTTTAAAGCCATCAGTAGTGTTGAAAGCAAAAAAGTGACTCAGTAATTCTGTTTGTGGAGACATAATGTCCTTGGATCAGATAACAGCACCTTCCCAGTACTGCTTTTACATACTTCATTAATTCACGTAGTGTTAGTGGCTGTCTGTCCTCCTGTTCCAAAACAACTGCCTTCATCTTGGGTCGAGTATTAAATGTGGAGCTTGGTGGCCCTGCATGTGGCAGGGGGTTGGAGATTCATAGTCCTTGAGCTCCCTTCCAACCTGGGCCATTCTGTGATTCTGTGATCTTTGACATTTCATCGGCAGCCTGGTTGAGTGAGTGGCAAGCCTGTGCACGGCAGAGGAGTTGGAATGAGATCCCCTCCAACCTAAGCCATTCTGAGATGACCTGTTGCAGACTCTCTGTCCTTACTTATGGGGCTCTTCTGGTCTTCCTTTGAGGTTTCATCTCCCTCCCAAATGAAGCCACAATCCCTGACAGCCACCAGCACCACCCCACGCCTTCCCCAGCATCTCACTCACACCCAGTGCTTGGGAATGGTGAAATCCCATCCCATCCCTGAGCCCACTGCTGTTTTCTGATGATATCAGAGATGCGTGGCGCCCAAAGCTGCGCTGCAGTGTGACACCACAAATGACCAGCTAATTAGGCAAAGAGGAGCGCGACGAATTTAGATTCTTCTTTAGGGCTCACAGACTATTAGTAATCTGGAATTTGTTAATTGAAAATTGCTTCCTCTGTTTGTTGTTGGCCTTTTGGTGGAGGGGGATATTTCCTGCTTTTGGACTGCGTCGCTGGATCTATAATAATGCACTTTGTACATTAGTGCCAGGCACATTTGTAATTGGCTACCCTATTAAAGAACACTAATGATCTTACAAGTGTTCACAAATAATGAATAGAATGGCCCCTCGCTGAATTGAGTAATTTATTCACTGACATACTTGCAGATCTGTTTTTCCATTATTTAACCCAGCTTTCGCTCTCTGCCTGCCTTGCAGAGACATCTCCTCTTTCGGTCATGTGTTAGAGATAATATGGGTCACAGAAAACTCACTGTTCATTGGGATGCAGGGCTGCTCCACACTGGAGCACATATGTGATAGGATGTGCAGAGCAAGCAGCAGTGATGTCAGTCTCTGGTGCATTCGTTGCTGCTGGGATTCTCCTGAAGCATAAAAGGAGGACAAAAAACCAGAACTTGCAAAATGCAATCCAGAAGGCTATGCTGATTTTCTCTTTTAAATATGAAAGCCATAGAGTGGTGGGATTGGTTTTTCAGCTACTGCCCCTCACAGGAGAAGGAACTGGAATGCAGCTCTGCTGGATTCCTGCACACCATGGAGCTTTGGGTAAACCTTTTGCTGCTTCCAAAGTACCCACACTGTGGCAAGGTGCTCTGTGCTGAAAGAAGCAGCTCAGCAGAGCTCACAGTTCTATTTTCACACAAGCCTTGTCCTAAAGCACTGCCTACTTATGAAAAACAGAGCTGTTTTCCATGGAGGGTAATGGTGAAGGAAGTTACATCTTTCTTATGTCAGGCTTTTGCGTGTTCTTCTGAGTCCTGTGATTGTCCATCAGGAGGAAATATTCTATGGGGCAGAAGCCTGCCGTGCTGTATGGGAGAAAATGGTAACACTGGGTCATAATTACAGGCTGTGACAAAGAGGTGGTTTGGGTCAGCGTGCTTAGTAAAGGGCTTCCTACAGTGGGAGCTTCGTACCCACATCATGCTGAAGATTCAGCACAGGAAGTAAGGTGTACAGGGTTTGTGAGCCCGAAGAAGATAGGTTTGACCTCAGGGAAGCGTGGGCAAAGGGAATGGCTTTGCATAAGTGGATTTGTCATGGGGTTACAGAAGCTGAGTGGGTATGGAGCTGGTTCCCTCCTGTGACCTACGTGGCACTGCCTGTGCCTGCTGCCACCCAGACTGTGGCAGAGCTGTTGGGATGGGCACCCCACCACAGGGCAGCCCCAGCAGAACAGCTCACACTGTGGGACCTGCAGTGACTTTATGGGGAGAAGCCAAAGCAGGGAGACACTGAGGGTGACTTTAGGCCACGGGAAGATGCCAGAGCTTGGTTTTAGAGGATGCTGGAGCTTTCTTCTGGGGGCAGAATGCCAGATCCTGAATTTTTGAGAGGATACTGAAGCCTGCTTTGTGGGGGGACACCAGAACTTGCTTTCTTTGCACTTGTTTCCATTAGCGTGTGTGTATGTTTTTTAGGGTGGTTTTCCTTCTTTCTTTCCTTCTTTCTTTCTTTCTTTCATTATTTTTTTTTTCCCTTTTCCTTTCTATGAGAGCGGGGAGCTCTCAGCCCCCTATTCTGAAGGATGCTCTCTGCGGGACTTCGGCAGCCGCTCCCCGCACAGCTGAGGGTTAACGGGGCGGGCGGAGCGGGCGGGGCGCGGCCCGGCGGAGCCCATTGCGGCCGGTTCCGTTCCGTTCCGTTCCTGCGGCGTCTCCAGCGCCGGGCGCGGAGCAGCGGAGGGGAGCGCGGGTGGAGCCCCCCCTCCCCTGCCACCCCCCTCCCGCGGCCCCGCCGCCCTCGGCCACCACCATGGTGCAGAAATCCCGCAACGGAGGCGTTTACCCGGGGCCCGCCGCCGAGAAGAAGCTGAAGGTGGGCTTCGTAGGGCTGGACCCGGGAGCTCCGGACTCCAGCCGGGATGGGGCTCTGCTCATCGCCGGTTCCGAGAGCACCAAGAGGGGTAGCATCCTCAGCAAACCCCGTTCGGGGGTGTCGGGCAGCGGGAAGCCCCCCAAAAGGAATGCTTTTTACCGCAAGCTGCAGAATTTTCTCTACAATGTGCTGGAAAGACCGCGGGGCTGGGCTTTCATTTACCACGCATACGTGTGAGTAATAAAAAGGTGGTGGTGTGTGTGTGGGGGGGGTACAGCGCAGCCCCCTCCCTTTTTACCCCTAGCCCCAAATTTCTCTTTGCCACCCATCGCCAATCGCGGAGTGCAGGGTGGGTGGGGGATGCTCCAGCTGCAGAACGGCTGCAGGGAAGGAAGGGATGGGGGAGGGGGGGGTAGATATGCTCGCTGGGGAACCTAAGAGTACTGTGAGCCCCTCCCGGAGCTGCCGCAGCCCTACAGTGTCCGGGCACGGTGCACCTGGGGAAGGGATGTGCGGTGTGTGTATGGTGAGGGGGAAAAATGAAGCTGTCCCTGCAGAGCTGGGGGTGGTTCCGGTGGGGAGGTGCAATGCACCGGCCCTATGCACCCCCGTTTACTTCCCCGCTTGTGGGGGAAGGGGCTGTGGTGGGTGCATGCAGGGGAGATGGGGAGGGAGCGCTCCTCCGTCTTGCTTGAAATCACCATAGCAATGCTGCGAGCTGAGGAACACAAAGCGCTGCTCGGGAACTGGCTTTTTTCCCTTCCCCACCCCCCCGTCTCCTCCGGCCCCATCTTTTGCGGGGTGCTGCGGAGGATGTGGGGCCGGGGGGTTGCGGCTCCGCACCGGGGTCCGGAGGTTCTTCTGTGCCCCCCGTGGGAGGCAGTGGGGTGGGAATATCTGCAAAGAAATGCTGAGCTGCGTTTGGGGCTTTCTGGGGGGGGGTGGAGAGGGAACAAAGGAGCGGTCCCGGGGTGCGCGTTTCCCCTCGGCAGCCTGGATTTTAGGCAGGAATGGCTACGTTGGGTGGGGAAAAAATGCCCCTGACTGCAGGTTATGCTGCAGGAGGAGGGCAGCTGGCTGTTCGTTATTAGGATTGCAAAGGGAGGGTCAGGATAAGTCGCTGTGTTACTGCAACTCCCTTCCCTCTGGGACTTTCCACAGTTCCACTGGGCTCTTCTGCGGTCCTGGGCTCCAGCACAGCCCTGTTTGGGTTCCTGCGCCCTTAGAGCCAATGGATTTTTTTGTTTGCGTGCTCTTCATTATGGCCAGGGCCTCCGTCAACTCAATCGAGAAGATTTTTGGGGCCTTTTGTTATTTTCCCTTATTCCTTTTGCTGCTAATGACATTCTTAGATGAGATGTTGGGATGTGCTTTATGGTCCTCAGCCATTTTGTGCCTTGAGGCCTCCCAGGGAGGTGTGTTGTGTCCGGGTGATAAGATGCTGTTTGGGAGGAAGGGAAAGCTTCACCCTGCACTGCAGAGGGCTGGGGGCTTGTAGAGAGCTGGGTGTCCCTGGGAGCATCCTTGGAGCTCAGTGATGGATGTGATGGCAGTGAGGTCCTGAGCATTCTCCATGCCCAGGAATTCTATGTGCTTGGTGCTGCGAAGTCTTATGGAGGGGCTCGCCTGGCTTTACAGTGAGGATGAGGTTGTATTTAAGAGCACACGGTGCATGCTGTACACAGGTGAAAACCCAGCTTGAACTGGCAATGGCAGCACTGAAAGGGGCTGAAAGCCAAATGACCAGCAAGGGGTAGCCCTGCCTGGGAGGGCTTTGTAAGCTTCTTTTGCTTCTTCAGCTGCTGTCTTGACTTCTGATCTACGTCGCTCTCTGCAGTGGCATTGGCTCGGGCAGGCAGTAATCATCACAGGGCACAAGCAGGGTATCCCAAGCTACCTCCTTCTGGGATTCACCTTCTCCTGAAGTCCCCATTTCCAGTGCATTCCTCTAGAGCCCACAGCTGCATCTTGCTTTGGGCCCGTGGCTGTGTGTCACCTGGTTGTGCCAGGAGCTGCGCCTGAATAGGAAACACTGCAAAACCACCCCTGACCCACACTGCTGGGAAATGGAGGCAGTGCTCAGGGCTGAGGTAGGAGCTGCACTGAGGTCTGTGAAGCATTAGTAATGTGATTAATTTTTTACAGTGCGTTGGGATGTTTTGTGAATGCCAGTCTTCTGAACCATGCATACAATAAGGTTGGCTTTGGCAGGTCAGTAATATGTTATTTAGAGAGCTGGAGGGTACAGTGAACATCTCACAAAGTCACTGGGGAAAAGCCCAGTGCCAGCTACTCCCTTTGCTGCCCGTCAGCCAGACCCCACCAGTGCCAGCTTTGTGTGTATCAGAATGGAGCAGGTGGGGGCTTTTCTGGGTTTTTGTAGCTAAAAAAGTCTATAATCCAACAAGGACAGCACAAAGCCTGCTGGCTGCTTCTGCACAGACATGAGGGCGAAGGGACTGCCTCAAGGTCATGAAGTTTGTGTGGAAGAGCTGCTTGGAGATCCCCACGCAAGTGGCAGTGTTTCTCATGCTGCATCCATCGATCTATTTCCCTTCTTCTTCTGTCGTTGTTCTTTCCCTTTTGCACCATTTCACACAGTGCAAATCAGAGAAATTCAGTGGAGCTTCCATCCCTCCAGACTCAGCCCAGCTATTGCCTCTGTAACAGCTCTGTGCCCTCCGTGAAAACAGTGCTCCCTATTTCATGTTGCTGTGTTGTGATTCATTTCTATGCATAACAGCTCTTCCCACACTGACACAAGTGGGTGACCCACTCATGGTGTGTATGTGTACATTATACAGGTATGTATGTTCTGCACAGTTCTATGGACAGCTGAGTCTCATGGATCCCATCTTGGAGTGTGGCTGGAGATGGACTCTGGGCTTCCTGTATCTCACCTCCCATATTTTCCTGGTATTCCTCTTCCTCCTCTCAGCTCTCTCTCTCTCTTTTTTCTTTCTTTTTTTTTTTTCTTGTCTTTTTTGGCAGAGCCATAGCACTGCAGCACATGGCCTCGTTCTGTTCAAGGTTGAGCTAAAACTTGAAAAGTTGAGCCCTGTCTAAGCAGCAAGCCATGCCTTTTGAGGGACATGGCAGCTCTTAGGTCTCACGGCAGCTCTCTGCACAGAGAGGCGTTTTGCTTTCAAAATTGTTCCGTTTTCCTTTTTTTTTTTTTTTTTTTTTTTTAATGGTTTAGGTTATCTTTTCCCTTCTAATCCTCTTACCTTGCTTATTATCACTTGTCCCGTGCTTGATGGTGCTGTGGTGCATCCTATTCCAGAAGGGATGCTGTGCTCTGTGCTGACTGCGTGGACTGGGTGCCCCACAGCCCTCTGTGTCTGCAGGTGTAGTTCCTGACCTTTGGGTGAGCTGCTCTTGTTTGGGACCTATGTTCAGCCTTTTTAAAGCTGTGTGTCTACAGCAAATGTAATTTTCACGTTCTGTTTATTGTTCTCTGTGGCAGCAGCTATGGAGCATTGGGAAGATGAAGAGTTGATGCAATTTCTTCCTTAGAGGTGTGGGGTTTCTTGGTGCAGAAGTGCCCTCTTTTGTGACTCCTCCCAGCCCTTAGGGACCAGGAAAATGTGGTTACTGCATGGAGATCTTCTTTCTCAGATCATCTTTTACTTTTGATATAATGCCCTCGGGAACCCCTAGGTATTTTTCTGCTCTCAGAAAGCTTGTGCGTTTTGTTTTGGTTTTCTCCCCGGTTAATTTTGTATACCTATTTCAATGCATTGATTAATTAAGAGAAAGTTTAAATTGACCCTCACGTGTGTTTCTCTGCATGCTCATGTGAGCCTTTAACAACCCCAAACCCATCCAACCCACTAGTGATGGGCAGGATCCTCCCCACATCCTATTGAGAGTGTAGGATGAAAGTCCAACACAAATCCCATGTGCTGGGCGTAATGGAGCTGTTGGGCTCTGGAGACCGATGCCCTCACCGTGCAGTTTGTCCTCCCTGGGGACTTCCATGCAGCGATGCCTCACCAGCTCCTGCTTAGTCAGAGCTGGGTGGGAGCAACCCGATTTAATGCGTCACGTTCCAGTTGTATTCACCCCACACTGACATTCAGAAAAGGAAAAACAAGTCGGTCCCCTGGGTGACTTCCTTTCTGCAATGCAATGCGCCTCAAACAGCTGAGCCTCCATCTTTCTTAAGAAGGAATGACCCCCAAAGCAAGTCCCAAATCCTCTACTAAAGGGGAGATGGGTGTCTCTTCAACAAAGAAATGCAATTTGTGAAAACCACATTATTATTATTATTTTTTTTAATACATATTTTTTTTTACTTGGCGGCAGATGGAGGACGTGGTGGGATGAGACTCTATGGTCTGTTGGTAAAGCAGGATGGCAGGCTGTTGTCAGGTTTTTGCAGGGCTTACTGGGATCAAAAAGCACAGAAGTTTTGCATGTGGCATTTGGGATTTAAGCAGCAAACGCTCAACCCTGCATAATCCTGTTTAAGGTAGCCCAAACGTAGAGCTGGTTTCTCTGTGGGCTCTTGAGGGACTGATTCCTCTTTAAAATTACAGTGGCAGTTCCTGCCATGTAATCTCCTGCGGAGAAGAAGCAGGGGAGCAGAGGAGGATGGAGGGTGATTCCTACAGAGGATTAAACTACAGCATGCTTCTGTGGAAATGCAAGCCTGTTCGTGAGAGACGTCCCCTTCAGAGACAAGATCTCCAGCACTGAGCTGGATAAGCCTCTTCCCATGGTGGTTTGCGTTGCTATGGGATAATGCAATGGCTTTTAGCCACCAGGTGATCAGAACTGAATTAATTACATTTAAAAACTGGCTGATCGGGGTGGTCTGGGCTGAATTTGATGAATGCATGCATTGTGAGGTGGTTTGAGCAGCGAGTGTGTGTCAGCAGGACCAGGTAGTGCAGGAGGACACCTGGTCCATCACTGCCATGTGTTCAAACTGTTCCTAGCTGGGCTGTAAGCCAAGAGCACTTGGGCTCCTCTGACATCATCTAGAGTAGAGGATGGCCCTGCTGATGCTGCAGGTATTTAAATTGGCCTTTTGGTGGATGTGCCCATCCACACAGACAGAAAGAACAAGCTGGAGCTCTTGGTGACCTCAGCTTCCCACACGCTTCTCCCAGCCCTGTTCTGGGCAAGCTGTGAATGCAGCAGCTCTGACACACAGACTGGAGGTGTTTGGGGAGGTCATGTGCAACTGTTCTAAAGCACTGAATTAATTATGTGCAGAGCTGTCTGC